CAAAGTAATGCCTTGAATTACACATTACATTTGAAAATTTTATTAGTGAATAGAAAAATTAAACATTTTGAAAAACAACTAGAAGTCACAAAAGATTCTAGCATATGCAGTAACTGTTCCATGAATTGAATATAAGTATACATGTAAAAAGTCTATTTAATTTGACTTTTACAATTTTTAATTATTTTAACTTAATGTTGACTTTAACTTTTATAAAATATTTTTGTTGTTGTTTTTTTTTTTTAATTTTAAACGAAATATTTAATGACTGTGAATTACTTCCCTAATTATAAAATAAACATAGACCTTAATTAATGAACAATTGTCAAAATGGTGAAAATATTGATTGTTAAACAAACTAATTAGTGTTTTATAACAAAGTTTAATTATCTTTTATTTAAGCAAAACAAAGATATTCTTTGATCTTATGACAACAATACAGCTAATCTTTTCAAATATCAATCTTTTTATGCAGGAAAATGTATGAAATAAGATGAAATAAAGAATATATTTTAATGATTAACATATTCTTAGTTAATCAAGAAATCTTAAATTTGGTTAAGTTAAAACTCCAACAATATGTTAAAGATGTAGTATGTATGTAAAAAAGTAATGACATGTAATGCCATGTAATGCATGAAATTACACAAATTTTTGCTAAAGTAATGCATTATATTACAATTACATGTAATGCACAAATTGCTGCATTACACATTACATGCAATTACTTGGAAAAATATAATGCATTACTATGCATTACAATTACAAATTTGCATTACCCCATGCCTGGTTATGTGTATAATTATGTATATGTGTCTTATCAACTTTTCATTGATAAATTAAGAAAATAAGCTTCAAACTCCCTCAGAGAAAGTTGGTCTAAGGCAGATTTGGCTATTCTTTCTAGATCTCTTTTGGTCATATAGCTCCGCACGTATTCAAGTATTCATGAGGATCTGGATTTGGGGAGGGGGGGGGATCCTCCATTTCTGTAATCAATAATTTTTAGGCCATTTTTCTCTATTCTTTATTTTTTGGACCATTATCCTCTATTCTTTATATTTTAGCACCTCATAATTCTCTATTCTTTATCTTTTTTTTGTTTCATTTTTCTCTATTCTGTATATTGTTTGTCCATTACTCTCTATTCTGTACACCCCCACCCACACCCTCATTCAAACATCCTTGGCTTTCAATGTTTTGGGTTGACCGTTCCAGCTGAAGGTAAATCGAGATGAGCGCTTCGGACGAACCAAAGTTATAAAATGATGTTTTCTTTTGTAAAGAATCACTCTTCATAGAGTTATGGGAAATTTATTTAAAACATTAAAAGGGGTTGTTCTCTTCCAGTACAAATTGAATACTTTAGAAAAATATTGTAAACTTCCTAATGCAGTTACTATGTACAGTTCTGAAAATAAGGATAGCGGTAAACACGGTAAATGCTTCAGTTTTTCCCATTTTTCAAAGTACCATACTCTCTACTAATAAAAAGTATATGTTGGTTGCAGTTTAACTGCTTTAGGCGAGAGGATTCCGTGGTGTTTAATTGTTTAAATAGTCACAGGTGAATTATAGTTGTTTTTTTTCTTATCCTGAAAGTATTTAATACAGAAATTTATCAATATTGCTCTTTTTTTTTGCCTCCTCGGGGCTTCATTTACTTTAGGGGACCCTGTAGTTTCAAGTGAGAGTGCCGGCTTGGGTTAGGTTAGGATATGTTTTCATGCAGGGTTAATTATGTGTAAAAGATAGTTTTAAGTTTTTGGGTTGAGGTAAATTTAGGACTTTTAGGTCTTTCTGTTTTGAATTTCCCTTGGAGTTATTTTACTTTTAAGAAAAGTCCAATATGGTTCGGGTCCTCTAAAGTAAATGATAAACCCTCCCTTCGAATTACCGTTTTGTTAAGTTGTTGTGTCTGCATTTTATTTAAACATATAGAGTAATTGCATAGTCATTGGTAGTACATTTTGTTTTATTCTTACATTTTTTCTAGTGTAAAGAGACAGACTCAGATAGTGCAACGACAACTTTTGAGATCGAATTAAATGCACGAGTCTAAGCCCCTCATGCAGTCGAAAGTGAAATTGAGAGGTGTAATAACTTTAAAAAAATGTCAAGTTAATGTACTATACATACAAGAGAAGTTGACACACTCGAAGATCAAAGGAAAAACTAACATATAATAATTTATGAAAACAATATATATCTTTCCGTTAGTCTAAGTTCCCTGCTAACCAATGAGGACGCAGATGTGGGGGTTAGAACAGGTCAAGTCCGTTTTTATTATCAAAAGGGGGAAACAAGTACGAAGTCTTGACATAACAACTACATGTAGTCAATCTAAAATGTCAATGGAGCTTAGCAAATCTCAGGAGTAACACGTAACATGTACTATTTTTCATGTCCTTTTATGCTGAATATTTGGTGCCCACAACTTTTGATTTTACATGTAGCTCTTGATCACTTTAGCGTTACAGTATAAATAAGAAGATGTGGTATGAGTGCCAATGAGACAACTCTCCATCCAAGTCACAATGTGTAAAAAGTAAACAATTATAGGTCAAAGTTAGCCCTCTTAGTTGTCAAACTTGGTAGTTTGAAATTTCAAGATAATGTTATGAAATACAAAATGCATGGATATGGTTTGTAAAAATCCCCAATGTCTATAGTAAACACGAAATGATCACGGGGTGTAAGAAGCAGCTTCACTTGACTCAGAGCGACTAACAAGTTGACATATTATGTTGAAATTGATCTATTACAATAGGGCCAAAAATAAAACTGAAATTGTTTAATGTTATGTTGCCTACCTACCCACATAAAATGCAGCCTACCCGAAAAAATTTATGACACAAAATCATTTAAAAAAAAATTCAAAGATTTTTTCCTGCTCTAATGCGTTTTCTTGTGTAAAATTTGTGTAAAATTTAAGTGTGATGTTGCGCCGATAAGAATAGAAACTGTGTGATGTAAAGGCATTGTATAGTTTGTTCTTATGTTGTACTGTTACACCACTGTCCCTGGTTAGTGAGAGGGTTTTGCGCCAGCAAACTAGTTTAACCCCGCCACATTCTGTATGTGCCTGTCCCAAGCCAGGAGCCTGTAATCCATTGGTTGTCGTTTGTTGCTGTACATCATATTTGTTTTTCGTTCATAAATCAGACCGTTAGTTTTCTCGTTTGAATTGTTCTACATTTGTCATTTAGTAGCCTATTATAGCTGACTATGTGGTATGGGATTTGCTCATTTTTGAAGGCAGTATAGTGACCTATCATAATTGTTGTTAACTTCTATGTCATTTGGTCTCTGGTGGAGAGTTGTCTCATTGGCAATCATACCCTGAGATCATACCACATCTTCTTATTTTTATATTGTTGCTGAGAATAGATTGTGTTTTCATGAAATATGTATTAAGAATTGTATTGTCGAAGTTGAGAAACATGTATTATTCAACTGTCCAGTATATGCAGATTTTTGTGCTATATTACTTAACCATCACGCTAATTCATTTGATTGTAACTTTGTTAATATGTCCAATATAAGATGACAAATTCAAGTTTTTATTCACAAATGAAAATTTGTGTTATTTTATAGACAAAATAGCATCTGCTATATTGTCTTGTTGAAAAGAAAAAGTATTTTTATTTACTTGTAGAAAGTTGTTTGTTTTGTGTGATAATCTCTCATAATTTTTTTTAAAGTGGCTTTTGTTGTTTTAAATTTTGACTGAGATTTTATAAATATCTGTCAACAAAAAGGTGAGACGTTAATAAATTATTTGTGTTGTCTTTAACAATTTTCATTGATAAATTAAATTATTAAGAAAATAAGCTTCCAACTCCCTCAGAGAAAGTTGATCTAAGGCGGATGTGGGTTTTCTTTCTATATCCTTTTTGGCCATATAGCTCCACACGTATTTAAGTATTCTTGAGGGTCTGGATGAGGGTTCCTCCATTTCTGTATTCTTTAATTTTATAGGCCATGTTTCTCTATTCTTTATACTTTTTGTCCATTATTCTTTTGTCTTTTGTAAGAATCTCTCGATATGGAGTTGTGAGAATCTTATTTAAAAAATCAAAAGTGGGTGTCCTCTTCAAATGAAAATTAAACAATTTAAAAAGAGATTTTAAACTTTCCAATGAATTTAAAAAAAAGAACTATGGTAAACGCGATAATCCAGCATTTCAACAATTGTGATTACTTTGCATTACTTTCCATTTCTTCGAACTATCGTACTCTAAGTCTACTGCCGACAAGGGCGATTACCTTCTAATAAAATGTATATGTTGGTTGCAGTGTAACTGATATAGGCGAGAGGATTCCGTGGTTGTTCATTGTTTTTAAATATATCCGTAAATGTTTAAAACACTTAAGTAAATTTCGAATTAACTGGCAAAAGGACATATTTCACAAAAATATATTTGAACTAAGGGAACAAATAAATGACTGTGTCACATTTTGGAACGGTACTTGCATGGCTACTTGCACGAGAAAGCAATGGTGGGTAAAACCAGGTTTCAAAAGGGAGAATCTTCCACTTTGATAAGTTCAAAATTACATACGCGAACGAACATAATGACAACACTACAAAGCTTTTGTGTCACACTTATGTTTATAAATGAGTGGGTGTGTGTGAAGCGGTGACATATATGTCATACATGTACCGTGGCATGTCATAGTTATCAATTAAAAAATCGTGCTACGTACTGTAAACTAATTTTGTCCGTAAATGTCTTGATAATGTAGAATAAATAGGTAACTGTATGTGACAGATGAAAAAACTGATATTTAAAAGAAATTCTCTACTTCAAAGGTTCAAGAAATTCTCTACTTAATATATATGTAATATAGAAAAAATAGGAAACTATGAATTTAACATAACAGTTTAAAAACTGGTGTTTAAAAAGAAATTATCCGCTTAAAATGTTCCTACCATCCCCCTCCCCGAATCCCCTTTAAATTCGTCAATAAATTTTAAAAAAAACATGACAATTTAAGACGGTCAGCAGAAACTTTAATTTCATAATACAATTACTTGAATTAGAGTTATCTTTCCTAAAATAAATAACTTTCATCACCACGTCTTGCATGAACAATATTTTGGAAAAGACGTGATGGGTCTATCCATTACTTCTATATCTCCACATAAATTATAGTATGTCTTCTTTTCAGGACAGATTACAAAACCTGCACCATAATTCGTGCTCAGACCAAGCTTGACAAGCAATTCATGATTATAAGATGTCAATGTCTTGTGTTTTGATCCTTCTTTATTTCCCGCTTTTGTTGTCTGATGGCAAGCAAGGACGGTACTAGTAATGTCAATGACAGTATAAAAATGACAACGCGCAAAACCAACTAGCCAATTATCATAGGCAGGTCTGCCAATAACAAATTCTGGAATTGTATTCCAAGGAAACCTGGAGGTTGTTATGAAATAGTCTTCAGATGCAACGATAAAAAGTTTTCCTCTCTCTGATGCCGCCTTCCGAATATTGTCATAAGAAACCACTTCTTTTAAAGATAAATGTGGGATGTTAGTTCTTCTGCCTGTCAAAAACACATTGTGGTCTCTGTATGCCCGATTTACAGTATTTAAAGAATCTAAAAGGTCATCAATAAATAAAATATCACTATTACTAAAGCCATAATACGTAGAATTAAAGGTTGAGATGACAGTTTTAAACATATTCTTTAACACTGGAACCCCTTCAATGTGGTGAATAATCGGAAGCACTGACCACCCGTATTGTAGAGCCTCTTTTTTTAAATCTGAATTATTTGTGAACAGAACTAAATTTACCTTTGGTATGAAAGAACTCCAGTTTCTAAGTGTACAATTGTGAACGAAAAACTTTTCTGGTGACGGTTCCATGTTGTGAATAATGTTAGCAACGGGCGATCTTCTGCATATTCCATCTGGCGGGAAAAAACATGCCGACGCCTGCACTCATTAACTGTCGAATGGAATGCCTTTTCCAGTTTTTTGATATGAAGAGTTAGACTGGTGGATTCCACATCACAGTTGTTCGGTAAAATATTTTTAAATGTTCTTGCTCCATTATGATCAAGAAATAATTTCGCAGACGACAGGAAATCGCTAACAGAACAGAACAATCTGTCCTGACTTTTACGAATGTAAATGTATGACAAGACCATCATTAACATATTAAACACGACAAGAAATGTAAATATCGTTATGAATTTCTCCATCGTGCGTTGCAAGTAGTCCAACTTTACGCATATTGTTGTAAGTATTATTTTGCTTAGAAAACAACGATGCTAGCAGCTAAATTGTTTGAAGTAAATAAAAAACCATCACAAGGACAATATTGTAAAATGACTGTAGGTTGTGTGTATTGATGCAATCACAACTTATAAATAATAGGAACATGCATTTTATGCCCCAAGGCAAATATCTATAACGTGTTGTTTTGCCCTTAGAGCAAGTACACATTTCAGGTCTTAAACCAGAATACAGTCTTAAAATTAATACATTTATATTTTGCAAGTGAAGGTTTCATGCTTTTTCAAAGGAAAATTACTTATTTTGTTGCTTTAAACGTAAGTTATTATCCATTTTTAATTGTCTGTATTAACATAAATAATAGGATGAGTGTTTTCGAATATAGATTAAGGTTGCCAGGGAGTTTGTTAAATCATCAATAAATATTTAGCATAAAATCGTTAACAATGGAACATTTCGTTTGTAGTTTGTTAGTAATTTACATGAGCGACTATGACACTTGTAACACCTTCTCGTACCCAAATTTGAACAGGAAAAGGCAGATATATTTGTATGTGTCAATCAGATTTACTAATAAAAGGATCTTCGAATTATATTTTAAATGTTTCATTTGAACAAAGGAATAGTGAGAGATAAGAAGTAAATGAAAGGGTAAGCTTATGTTTCTTTTTTTATGGGGATCACACGCTTTAATTTTTATATGAGGATATAGGGGACAAAAAAGTGAGGATGTGAAATATAGGGGTTAAAAAAGGCGAGAAGTAGGAAAAAATTACAAAAAAAAGGGGATTTGGAAAATGGGCACCTCCGTGTCACCCCTCTTTTATTTTCTATTGCTCAAGGTCAAATTTGGAAACCTAATAAGCTAGCAAAGAGGAAAGAAACACAAAAACAAAACCACAGCCATATTCAATCAGCGCCATATTTTTATGGCCATTTATTCATACCAAATGCTACTATACTGTTCAACATTTTTATCTGGAATATATATAATGTTTCTATTTTCAACCCAATAATGACTAGAGGTCTGTGAATTTTCCATTGATAATCCTAGCTTCTTCTTTCTCAATAGGTTTTTTAAAATAAAATTTTGTTGTTTTTGTTTTTGTTTTATCACAGACAATCAAAATCCTACATATAACTTTTATAGCGTGGCTTTTTCTCATTGCTGAAGGCCCTTACATAGCTGTTCACCTCATCGTCACTGGCAATCATACCACATCTTTTTATTTTTATTAACAAACAAAAACTAGTTTGATTTAACAAAGCAACACAATCTTGCATATAATTTAGAAAGTTATGTTTTAGAGTGTTTCATATGAATTGGTATTTTACCCTCTGTTGAAATATACTATTTGTAAACTAGTTTTACATGCATTTGAATTTAGATTCGGCTATGAAAAATAAAAGAACTTTTGAGCACGCATGCTGAAACAACTACAACTTCATTATTGTTTATAGATTTATTGAAACCATGTAGCTTTCACTTTGTATATTAGATTCTTATTCAAATTTTACTATAATAGTCTAGACTATTAATCAAGACTTTAATTCTCAAAACTTCAACTTAGTTAACATGTGATCACAGACGTTTGGAGTTAGAACGTTGATGACTTCGTTTCATTTTCATTTTAGTATCGTGATTAATTGATACATTTATTTTCCTTCAGGAAAAATAATGACCACTAAAGTTCATTAATTTAAATACTAAGTAAAAATAATAATAATAATACGAATAATATTCTTTATTTAAAGATGGTAACCAAAGTAACTCAATGGTTTTTATCACAGCGCTGTTTTTGCAGGATTTTTTCTTTCGCCTCCAAATATAAAATATGGAACCCGTGTACACGCGTATTGAATACATGTTGGTAAAGTTTAATTTCATAGTTTGAATGCTTTCTATGAGAAAGGGGTTGTGCCGTTAATATTATCGGTAAAAAGAGACGTTTAGAAATATTTTTACGAGAATTCGAAAAGTGCTGTATTAATGAATCATTAACACTGCTATTGTTTAATGAGTCATACATTTATTTAAACACAGGAATATTATAGTTATTCATTTTGGTATTTCTAATCCTGAAAGTATTTGACAAAGAAATTAATCAATATTGCTCTTTCTTTTTGTAGCCCCCCCCCTTTTTCGGGCCTCCAGTTACTTAAGGGGATACTTAAGTTTTAGGGTTGAGGTAAATTTAGAAAGTTCCCCATATAGTTCGGGTCCACTAAAATAAATGACACCCCCTCCCTTTGAATTGATGTTTTGTTAATTTGTTGTGTCTGCATTTTATTTAAACATATAGAATAATTGCATAGTCATTGGTAGTACATTTTGTTTTATTCTTACATTTTTTCTAGCCCAACGAGACAGACTTAGACAGTGCAATAAAAACTTTTGAGATCGAAAGGTGTAATAACTTTAAATTTTATTTATGTTTAAAAAATGTCAGATTTAATGTACTATACATACAAGAGAAGTTGACACACTCGAAGATCAAAGGAAAAACTAACATTTATGTCCAAAAAAAAAAAGACATAACAATTCATGAAAATGATATATATATCTATCCGTTAGTCTAAGTCCCCTGCTAACCAACGAGGAGGTGGATGTGGGAGTTTAGAACAGGTTAAGTCCGTTTTGATTATCATAAGGGGGAAACAAGCATGAAGTCTTGACATAACAACTACATGTATAGTCAATCTATAATGTCAATGGGGCATATAGCAAATCTAAGGAGTGACACGTACTAATTGTGCATGTACGTTCATGCATATGCTGACTATTTGAAGTCCACAACTTTTAATTTTACATGTAGGTCATGTAGCTCTTGATCATTTTTGCGTATAACTATTGATGATACAAAGTCCTTAGTTTGACAAACATGGATGTTTGAAATTTCAAGATAACTAGAACACACCCGCGAAATCGCGTGCATTTAGAGTGTGGTTGAAAGTATGTAAACTGTTGTAGGATGAATTTTTGTAAAAGATTTTATGAATGGAGAATTTCAGGAGAGGTATCAAAAGTTATAGGTACTTGGTGAAAGTACAATTTTTTTTAGCCCTCCCCCTTTTTTCCAAAGTCCGTTATTTTTTGTTTTCTGTTTTTCTGTATACTATGAACATACATATACTATAAATAAAGTGTATTTGCTATTTACTATCAATTCCAAGTTGTAATACCATCCTAGGCGATTTAGTCATTATAGAGACTCTCTATATAATATATCAGTGACAGCCGCGGATAGTAAACTTTGAATTGATAGTAAATAGCAAATACACTTTATTTATAGTATATGTATGATCCTGGTATACAGAAAAACGCAAAAATAATTGTCCTGTCCCCAAGTGCTTATGAAAATTATGTGTAATTTTAAAAACAGTCCTAAACGGAAGTCTAGTCCATGACTTGAAAGTCCGTTCAATGACGGAAACAATATTCGTACGCCTTTATTTTTGTTTTTCTCCCAAAATAACCCAAACTGAATAACCATAAGCGCGGATGACAAATGCGACTATGCACGGTACCTATAGGACACAGAGGCATAATGATTAATTCATTGTGGAAAGAAGAGAAGCGACACACAAAATGAGGTCTTCTCATTTAATAGTATAGATGATAAGAAACAGAAAATACATGGATATTGTTTGTAAAAGTACACATTATATCTATAGTGAACACAGAACTATCCCGGGGGTGTTGGTAGCAGCTTGACTTAACTCAGAGCGACTAGCAACTTGACATATTATGTTGAAATTCACTTATTACTGTAACAATAGTTTTGCTAAAAATATAATTGTTTTTATTGACAACGTCAAGTGATATTAAATAGAATAGAACATATGTTTGTTTCTAAACTATGATGGACGGACTAGGTTAACCAAAGATTATGACAATAAACAATCAACTAAACACGTACAGAAGAGCCGAGGGAAATAATTACTTAAATGTATGATTTACTGCACAAAAAAAAAACCAATGTAAATAAATAATTATACAATTGTTTTTTTTTAACAATTTCTAATACTCGATTATGATTTCCTCTAGCCAATTTCAATATATGAGGATCTGGATGGGGTCCATCATTTCTGTAATCTTTATTGAATGTTTTAGGCCGTTTTTCTCTGTTCTTTATATTTTTTGCCCATTATTCTCTGTTCTTAAATTATTTCAGCACCTCATTTTTCTTTATCCTTTATCTTTATGGTCCATTTTTCTCTTTTCTTTATATGTTTTGCCCTTTATTCTCTATTCTGTAAACTCCCATCCACACCTTCATATATATACAATATGATTTTGGGGGAAATATTTCAGTATTTTATGCACGTTATATCCTGTTTTAAAACAATATGATCCCATGTTTTAAACAATAAGGCCCTTCCTACGTTTAATTGATGAAAGATGAAAGAAATTTCAAACAAGGGGTATGCTAAGGTTTTTACTTACATGAGCAACACGACGGGTGCCACATGTGGAGAAGGATCTGCATACCCTTTCGGAGCACCAGAGATTTCCCCCAGTTTTTGTTGAGGTTCATGTTGCTCAGTCTTTAGTTTTCTATGTTGTGTTTTATGTACTCTTGTTTGTTTTTTCCTCGTTTTTTGCCATAAAAGTGGTTTGTTATTTTCGACTTATGAGTTTGAATATCCCTTTGGTATCTTTCGTCCCTTTTTTAAGCAGTAACGAAGAAATATGGCACAAAAATTAAACCTATATGCAGTAAATGTAAATAAGAAAAAAACATGTATTCGGCTCGAAACCGTTGAAGTGCTCGGTAGACCTCGCTCTTCCCCAGTTTCTAGGCCTCATACAAAAAAGTTGATTTTTTCCTGACATTGAAATAATATTGTATATATAACCCATTATAATATGAGTATGTGTGGTTAAACGTCAATAAAAGAGCAACCCAACGACAAAAAAAAAACCAACTACAGTCCTGAACAATTAGGAATTGTCTTTAAAATAAAACGTTAACCTCTCTTTAATATATATGCATTATTTCTCTTTTGTTCGTCTGTACATTTGTCTGTTCGGCATTTCTATCTGGAATTGTTCATTAACCAGTGGCTAGATAACAATTTTTCATAAAAATGTTAAGTCATTTCGCAAATCCTTTTCTTTTCTTCACGAACTGACCCATTTTTGAAGGTTTCCAATAACCAAGCATATGGACTTTGTTATTTACAAATAGGAGTAAGCATAGTGTATCTGCATCTCATTTTAACACTGACTTGATTTCAATGAAATTTTACAGTATGTTCCTTACAGAATGTCATTGTGTCCCTCTTATGTTAGTTTTCTTTTTTTTTAAATAATTATAGGGGCTTAGAGGACGACCATTTGACATTTTGGGGTGAAGGAGGGGGAGGGGGCAGGAGATTTTTTTTATCAGATTGACTATTCATTTTCGTCCTCTCTTATGCAAAGTTTTGTATTTTCAGCTCTTACAAGGCCAGGATGTCCCCCCCGCAGACAATCAAATAATCGTCCCCTTTAAAACAAAAAGCACAACATGGATTTGCCACATCCATCACTATTTTTTTTATCATACATAATGAAAAATTTCAAATAAAAGGGCGTTTTGTTGATTACGTGTAAACCTAGCTATGTATCATATTATTTAGACGACTGATCAAATAATCTTATTTACATCAATAATCTATTTGTAAAGATTTATTATTTAGTTCATGCTGTCATTTCAACATGAAAATACAACAAAAAAATCACCTTTCGATTTTCTTGCATCTTCTATGTCAACAGCTGCTCGGCTTTTAATATTGAACCAATGTCCTTTCAAATTGATGACCTATAGAATGATCAGTCTGCTTTATTCATTCATACATACAGACATTTTCACCTTATATTCTTAAAATTTGAAACTGCAATTTTATCGGTAAGCATAATATATTTTGACGTGAAATTCCTACAACTGATATGGATGTAACGTTATAAATAATGTTACTATAACTGGTTTATTTCAGCAAATAAATGGATTTTGGTGAATTGGTACGAATACAACTGCACAATGGATTGGAACATACAGATATTAATTGGCCTTTCGTCTATTGGGATGCTAAATTTATTCTATTTCCTCTATATGACGAAATCACAGACGACGGAAAGAGTAGAACCGTGTTCGATAACAACATATTTAAGTGCTTTTACGAATTTTATGGATAATAACGGCAAACTACAGTTTTCTGATTCATTATCAAAGGAATGCTTGGGAAAAGCAGGAAATGAGGTTAATATGATCGTAAGAAAATCAGTTGCCCAAAGTATACGGGAGTGTCAATTAGAAAGTGCTAGGAAAATCGGTAGAATACCACTAAATGATAATATTTTGACATTATTTACTTCTTGGTCAATAGAATCTGATAAATTTCATGTTCACAATAACACAGTAATAAACTGGAATACATTCATGCCTCGTGTAAATTTGGTTTTATTTACAAACGACAGCGCATTGTCTGCTTATGTGCGGGACCGTGGCTGGACGTCATATCCGGTGACAAGACATGCAGCAGGAGGTGCGCCAATTCTTAAAAATATGTTTCAGACTGTCATGAATAATTTCAATTCCACTTTTTACGCATATGCAAACAGTGACAATCTCTTTGACTCATCATTATTAGATACATTATCAACAGTTTACAATGATCTAGATAACAAAAAACCTTTATTCATTAGTGGCAGAAGGACAAATGTGGCATTTTTGACCCCAAAAGAAGCGGCATCTTATGGAAATATTCAACAGGCAGCTAAAACACGAGGGGAATTGTTCTTAACTAATGCTCAAGACTATTTTATAACAAACAAGTATTTTGATTGGTCAGGTTTTCCTGACCTAGTTATTGGCCGCAGAGCATATGATAATTGGTTGGTATTACGTGCTCGTGCAATGGGTGCAAAAACAGTTGATGCGTCTAAAACTTTGCTACTCGTTCATCAGACTACAAAGGGAGGAAACTTTGAAGGACATGGTCGTGTAGACCCTAATTACAATGATGATCTCATTCTTCGTTTAGGCCTGGATAGAACATACGAAAAAGGGTTCACTACATGTATGGAATATGAAACCTTTATGTCACTTTGTGACGAAACGGAAGTAATTCAGCGTAATGTGATACCCGATTATTGTAAGTGAGATGGGGATAAATTAAATTCAATTAACCAAAAGCTCAACAATGGCATACACTTTCACATTTGTTTATTTTCTTTAATTTGCTACCATCTAGACTTTTTTTAAGTTGATGAGATCTAATCAAACCTTGTTGTCATACTACAAATTCAATATCCAAAGCAGAATTTTTAATAAAAGTATTCATTGGTGTCAATATAGCATGTGTTTTGTGTTCCTTTAGCTATGGACCCTTGGAAAAACAATGATACAATTTCCGTGCGCTAAAAGTTTGAAAAGCCCTCTCCCATTAAAAAAAAAGCAAAAAAAAAACAACAAAAAAAACAACTTTTAAGACCATATACCAAACGTGCCTAAACAGAGCAGTCAAAAAAATATTTAAGGTCAGATTTGCATAAGGGGTTGCAACCTTAGTTTTAGCTATAACTTTATTGCCATATAAATCATAAGATTTGTGATAGTAACATACACACATATAACATATAAACATTATATGAATGAAAACATACACACAAATACAAAAACAAAACCATAGGAAAACACATCCCATAAAACACATACAAGTAAAAAGCAAAACAATCCATTTATATACTAAAATAAATAAATCAAGAGTCCCCTGTCCACAGTTCTAATGCCTGTTTAAAAAAGGACCATAAGCCTTCTACTTCTTTTGAGGTTGATGGAGCAAGGACGATATTTAACTTTCTCATTTTCTAGCCAGGACATAAAATCTGGCATATGTTTAACTACATTTCCTGAAAAGTTATCTCTTAGTTTAGAATTTTTTTTACAGTATAAAATAAAGTGAGCTTCATCCTCCAATATATTACAGGATGTGCATAGTCTTTTTCTCTAGGTATTTTTAAATGTCTTCCTGTTTCTATCAATAAATTATAGTCGATAATTCTCATTTTTGTTATGTTACTTCTCTTTTCAAAAGACTTACAGTTAAAGTAATTTTCATTTCTAAATTTTGCTTCAAACTTTTATATAAATAAAATTTACTTTTTTAGATTTTTTTTTTCAAATTTTTGTTCAAATATATTTGTGTAGAAATTTAAAAATTGGTGTTTTAAAGTTTTTTTTAACAACTTTGAGTATTTTTTCCTTTGTTTCCCTCAAGAATGGATACTTGCATGTTTACCTCTTTCAAAATATTTTTAACATATGTAAACCAGGTATCACAACCTGAATCATCCAAACTTTTAGAAAGTAAAAAGGATTCATATAATAATGGATTAAATTCAGAATTTAGTAATCTTGTTAGGTAAAGTATACTCTGAGTTTTTATATGCATCTCTAGTGGGTATCTTCCTAGCTCTGTTTAGCACTCGGGGGTTTACTTTTTAATGATAATGGTGATGGATGGCTGCTTTATTATTGTCCAGTGGCAAATTAAATGCATATTCAGGACGAGAACATATTAATGTAATATGAATATCAATCTTGCTTTGTACTAGAACTTTAGTTGAATTGAAAAAAAAAATTTTTTTTTGAAGGTATGAAGTGAGAGATAATGTAAGATTTTATTATGTCACTGTGTATTTCTCAAGACTATAAAATTAATTCGAAAATTCGCAATGTTTTATGAAACATAGTCTTGATAAACAGGAATTTAGAATAAAAAGGGTTTAATCTCAGAAAATGTACTATATGCTCATTCTTTATAAATGGAAACCGAAATGAAATTTGAATACTAGAACAAATGGTAATTGAAAAATAATAATTACATAACATGTATGTTTCACAAGAATCCGTACTTTTGATTGGCTGACAAAAACTCTAGAGGGATTCCAAAATTAGATTTTATGTCCAAATAGAATGCAACATTTACGACAACATGTGCTTCCATTGACAACGTCTCAACAATGCATAGGAAAACATACGAAAATTTGATATGACAAGTTATTTCATGGTCGTAGCATAAAAATGTAATTACATGAATTGAATGCTTCTTTTTGTAATTTTAATGGGTTGTAAAAGTGTTGATCACTTCATACAAGCCGTGCTTTGGTCAATGGGTAAATGCTTTAACACCCCAATAAAATTACAAAAAGAAGAATTCAATTCTTAAAATCATCTATACTATAGAAAATTCATGACACAATCGCACATAAAGAACCGAATAATTATAATACTTTCAGATCTGTTTGTCATTTTAAAGAAAATCGATGATTTAGATATTTGCAACATAGGAATCTAATTTATGTATTTCTGTATTTCTTTTAAAAATGATGTACAATTTTGCTATTTATTTATGTACAAAATTGTCATACCACAAATCAAATGTTTTAGTATATATGTTTCACATACCGATATGTGATAACTAATAAAGGGATATAAAACGTATATGTCAATGAGACGGCAACCCGACAAACATTTATAACAACAAAAAAAAAAACAAAAAAAAAACAGCAAGATTATGATATCTCTCAAGTCCGGTCAAGGGTCTAAAATTAGTCAGTTCCGGTTACTCTTTGTTCTTGGCTAACCCAAAGCACTCTTGTTTTCCACAAGATAGACGCAATGAATATGCAAAAATTGCTCTAAACCACTGGAAAACAAATATGTCTAGAGTGAGGTATAGTCCATTTCATTAAACATAAGATTCTGAAGCTCAAAGCACACAGATATGGATTTAAATATAATGGACCTAACCACGATGTCTTAAAAAAGAAAAAGGAAAATACTGTAAAGACGCAATTTCATTACAGCTGTTACAGGACACAATACACATACTTGTAATGAAATATTAGTGCGCGTCACATATTTTATTGATTCAGAGGATTTTCATTGACTTTATTTGATATGAATAACCTATTTAAAGAATTAGGCAGTCTTTTATTCATTAGGACAAAAATCAATGTAAGTAATAAAATAAATGAATAAAATCAACCAAAAGTACATGACACAGTCCTTTGATTGTTAATTGTGGAAAATAAGAAGGAGGGATTGCACATGAAACAATTAGTGCAGTCCTTATAGTCAACACTCTTACTGATGACTTCATTTTTGGTCAGAAATTTTGACTTAAAATGAAAAAATCAAAAGATGAAAATCAGAAATCTGGAATTTTATAATACATTTAATGTAGGAATGCCTTTCGATTGTTGTCGGCCAATCAAAGTATGAATTTTTCTTAAACATACGTGTAATGCATTTATTATAGAATAAAGCGGACTCGCTTGATATTCTTGCTGATAAAGCCAGTATTAAAGTAAGAAATGCCGTTATTCTTTTTATCTAAGGAATAGTCAATCTTAATCGCGTTTTTGTACATTTTCTATCATTAAATATACTTACCACATATTGGAGAACATTATCTAAAATATCACAATATTCATAGTGATTTTGATTACTGTAAGCACACTTGAACTTAAAAAAATATATATTAATGAGAAATTTGGTACAATTGTAAAACCATCTTGTAGGAATTATCTTTAAGTTGCAACACCGTGGGAGGAATTACTCACAATTTTTTAAGCGAATATAACTGAATGAAAACGGCCTATAAAATATGCTAAATAAGACTACATAAATATAATACAAATTTAGTTAAAAAGGTCAAAATTGTTTTGTTATAAATTAGGCCGTTAGTTTTCTCAATTGAATTGTTTCTTATTTTTCATGTCGGGGGAGGGGGGAGGCTTTTATAGCCGACTATACGGTATGGTTTTTTTTTCATTGATGAAGGCCGTACGGTTGCTATAATTGCTTACATCCACTTCATTTGAACTGTGGTGGATAGTTGTCTCATTGGCAATCATGCTACATCTCCTTATTATTTTTATATAAGCTTGGTCAAAATATAAAATTTGTTTTGCTTTTATTCTGCACTTAGTCATTTCTCTATTCTGTAAACCCACACAGACTCTCTTACATACACTACAAAAGTCTAAAAATCTGAAAAGACCAGTTTTTGTCTTAATTTTGCATGAAGTTTTACTCGACATTCTCCAAAATTATGACTTGTGTCTTAATTTTTCTTGACAAATTCTCATTTATATTAAATTTGTATGAAATTTACTCGACATATTCTCGACATTCTGAATATGGTCTTAAAATTTCTTGACAAATTCTTGACATTTGAATACTGTCTTGAAATTTCTCGACATATTCTCGACATTCTTATTTTTTCTCAGTATGGCTTGACATATTCTGAACATTTTGAATTGTGTCTTAAATTTACTTGACAGTTCTGAGTTTTACAAATCATGACCAATATTCATGATATAACTTTAATCTTTATTTCTCTTTATATAATATACTGTTGTTTCAAGTTACACTTCTTTATAACAAAAATAAAAGTTGGGCATGTAAAATAATTGAAAATTTGGGTATATAAATATTTTTACAAATGCAAATATGGCTATGAAATCTAAAGTATAAAATAATTCAAATGTGGGTGTGTTGATATAAAACAATTTCAATGTGGGTTTTTAAATAATTACAAATTTTGATTCCAAAATCTTATAAATTAAATGATTCAAACCAATCATACTGTAGACATATTTCATTCTACATTCATAATATTCAATGTTGATATGGTAAATAATTATTATACCAAAATGTGGTTTATAAAATTGCAAATTATGATGATATACAAAATTAGAATAAAAAGATTATGATTGTTATGTTATATGGCACGTGTCAATCGGTTCACTGATTTTCGGCATATCAAAGAAAAACAGGCACGTGTCTGAACAAAGCTTAATTACTCGTTTATTTGTTATTATATTTCTGTAAAATTTTAAATATATGTATTAAATATCAATATCTACCATAATATGAAAGAAATAACATGTAACAGCACCCTTTCTAGTCCTTAGTGGCATAATATACGTCCTTAGTGCACTAAGGACTCCTTAGCAGTGTTTAGACGTACCGAAATTTGTGTAATGTCATCTGTTGGAATATATTAAGTATTACACATGGACAGGATGTTCCCCATAAAATTAAGGTATTCCACACCCCAGAGTACACGCAACTGTCAAATAGAAGTTATTGCTTTACCTGTAATCAGCCATACAACTTATCAGTTGACCGACCATGCCACTACAATTTAAAAAGTTTGTTGATAGATGAAAATGAAAATCATCATTTTGATGAAAAAAAATTGAATTGAAATGGATTTTCTTCATCAAAATTATGAAGTTAATTATTTTAACATAAAAACAAATTGAATAATTCCCAAAGATTA